CTCAAAGAGCAGTGTCTAGTACCTGGTGTGAAGTCCTAACTCAGTTTTAAAAGGCCTTGTTAACACAATACTTCAGACCTGAGTTAGTATGTGAAGTTGCTGCCGTTTTGCAAAAGGCCACAGACTGTTTAAATACAGGTGTTTGCGTCAGTAGCTGTTCTAGCCTTTAAAACACTGACCTATTAAGTCCCGTGTACAGAAGTTCACTCGACTTTTCTCGTGGACTTTGATTTCTTCGTTGGATATTGATTCATGGAACTTGCACTCAAAATGTTTGCTTAAGTCAGACAACCCATTTGACCAATGCTCCAAATGTTTGTCCTCTGCAGACCTTTAGTTGTTGCAGAGGATTGGAGTTACCTGCAAATACTGTAGTGGCCATTATTGTCTCTTTTTGTGGGGTTTCTGAGCAACCTTCAACATCATGAAATTCCTTATGCATAATGCTTTTCGTCCAGTTTGTTTACCGGTTTGACTGGAGCTTATAGTTAGAGGCAGGCGAGACAGGAATGTGTGCGGCTTATATTTCAATAACAGGAGGGGAGTTGAGTCACATTGGTGAAAGCAGAAAACGGTAGAAATGACTGAAGGAAATCGATTATTCTTCCGTTACAAAAGCAGTCGGGCTTCTGTCTCTTCACGGTCAGATACGAATTGTGTTGAAATTCCCTGGCTTTATCAGGAGGAGGGAACAGCGCTTGAAGAGGAAAGAAGTAGTTATGTAACACTTAATTTTAGAGAAAAGATTCCTAACCCTGAAAACTCTCCTCTCTCTGCTTTATTAGTTTTGAATGCCAGAATGTGTTCCTAATCCTCCTCTCTTGAACTTGCCAAAGTAACTCTGGTTCAGTGTCTCGCCGGCTTGATTTTACACTGATTTATTGGTGATATTTCAGAAATAAGGAACAAAGCAAACACAACAATGGAGAGGGGTTTTTTTTTTTTTTTTTACTGCGATGAGCTCAAAAAAAAAATGTGAACACGCTCTTAGTGTTCTACTATCTAGATGATCTCGGTTTGGGAGATGTAAAATATGGATGTTAAATAAGAAAATATGACAGAAGCTTTTTACACAACGTAAGGGGAACATATTTTATGTTTTGGTGAATGAAGAGGATCGAATGTTGATATGAGCAAACCAAAGTAAGTCCATGTGCTTTTGAGCGATGGACATTAGTGACCTATTTGACGCAGCTATGAAAGGAAAGTTTATTTTGGTTTAGGAAGTGCTGCGTGGTTGCTGCAGTGTTATTTCCACAGGTCTTAGTTGAGAGGTTACTATACAAGTCTGAATTCGATGATACTATTCTCAGAGTTGATGTACTCGGGCTCGAACAATAACAATAGTCTTAAGCAGGGATGAATTTCTTATCTTTACAATTTTTTTGTAGTATCATTGCAAACTACTGACAGTAGTGTCATTTTACTGCCATTCTACTTCCCCGAACGCTGACACAGTGGGCTCTTTATGCCCTGTAATATGAGATGAGAGGGATTCGTCTGCACACAAGGAGATTATTAGTCTGTGACAGAACCGTCTTCCCCTGCAGCTTTATGCTTTCTGTGTAATCAGCTGCTCCAGGAATTTTGCACAAACAGAAAAGATTGTGTATTAAAGTCGGTGGCATTTGTGTTCAGGACCATTGCTGAAACCTGCTGTGATCTCTGAGCATTGACTATTCTGCATGGGGAGCTATTAGTCCTTTAAAAACCCCATATATGCCAGTTTCTATACAAGACCACATGAGTTAATCTGGCCAAATCGTTTACATAGAATACCTATTATGTGTCAAAACACTGGTGGTGTGTGTGTGTGAGAGACAGAGTGCTTGTCTCAGTCATCTGTTTTTGGTATGCTGCATGCGCATGGCCTACATATCATGTCAGCTGATGTGAGATTAGTGTTGAGAACAAAGCAGTGGTTCCTCAGTGTCTTAGGATGCAGAAAAGAGGGTGAACTCGCTCTCTCTCCAAAGCTCAGCTCTCCTCTTGGCTTGAATTAGTCGGAGCCGTGTCAGTGGGAGAGGCTATTTTTGGAAACCTGCTTTAATATTAACGTACGGCAAACACGTTTTCAATTTTGGCTGTCGCTGCTCAAAATAGGTCGGCCATTGAAAGTGATTTGACGACGCTGTGTTCCAAGAGGAATATTGTTTGCTGTATCTAGACAGGGTTAAGAAATACCTGATAAGATATCGAATAGAATTGGACTTTTATCTCGTACCACAAGATAAAGCACCATTTAAAACAGCTTTATGTGTTTTCTTACGACTACTGTGTGACCTCATAGGTATTTCAACATCCCTTGTGACGCAATAACTTTCTTTTGTCACAGAGAGTTAGTTTGTAGTGCTCAAAGGAGTGCTCGGTCCTGCTGGTGTATAATGGTGGTATGTTCAAATTTGATATGTGACACCCTATGGTGAAACCCACACTTCAGATTAGTATGAGCTTCACAGCTTTGTTTGCAGTTTGGATCCATTCTGTGCATTTTTGATAGATGGTAAATAACAACGTTCACAAACAGCTGCCTCAGTGGCAGCTCCAGCCCCTGCAGCTGTGTTTGGTCGAATGAACTTTGATTATGGCTGCGGATAAGCCACAGCTGGACTGTGCCTGTCTTTGCCTTATCTTTAAGATCAGAAAAAAAAAAGGAGCCGTATCAGTGAGTTTGGCCCAGTTACAACCTTGAATAACCTCTGTAGGGCTTTATGGTAATGTGAGCTGTGTTACTTATTGTAGAAAGCAATAACACTCACAGTCAGTGACGAAGAACAAGTCAAGCTGAGCAGTGGAGAGAATAAAATGAAAAACAACTGTGTTTGATGTAAATTATTGACACAGTTCAATAGAAAATAATACTTGTATGTCCATGGAAAACAAATATCAGCAAATGTACCTAATCATATAAAATGAAACATAATTGAATAAGTATTTGTGGAGGCAGTCTTGAATCTATGCATCAGTTTTGCACAGTGCAGCGCTACATTTGTTTCCTGTTGTATTTGGTATTTGTTCAATACAGTGCAGCCGTGTAAAAGTCAGTAATCCTGTGTGTATGTTTTCATCAGAGTGGATAACTTCGGCCTCGGCCTGCTGCTCCAGACTAAGCAGATCAAGAGGATGATCTCCTCATATGTCGGAGAGAACGCAGAGTTTGAGCGTCAGTATCTGGCGGGGGAGCTGGAAGTGGAGCTAACGCCACAGGTTGGTCAAAGCAGCTAATTGGGAGTGATACCTACCCATGAAAACACTCATTCATAAACCAAACTTACTGATGAAATTCTATGTTTGAACATCTAAATCATTAGACGTCATATATTATATATGTCAGAGAACAAACAAACAAACACATGGACTGAATAAAGACGTGCAGTGCGTCTATTACACTCATATCATGATCACCTTTATTAACAGGGAACTCTTGCTGAGAGGATCAGGGCTGGGGGCGCTGGCATTCCAGCCTTCTTCACAGCCACTGGCTATGGTACTCTGATCCAAGAGGGAGGCTCTCCTATTAAGTACAACAAAGACGGCAGCATTGAAATCGCCAGTGAGAAGAGAGCGGTAAGAGTTTCGTTATCCCAGCTGTGGTCCAACCGTATTATTATGTCTGTGCAAACTTACTATGATCACTGTACACATTCTTCCCTTAGCTACTTTTCCTAGGAGTTTGTTTGGTGGGTTGAGAGCTGCAGGTGAACTTGCATAAAAGTGGTGGTCTTGGATTCTCCTCACAATGGCCCCACTGTTATTCAATTCCTAAGAGCTTGAATGTGGTCTGTTGGAGTCCACACTACAAGGGGGGACTTTGTACAGTGGATGATGCATGAAGTGATGGGTTGAACAAATCAGATTAAAGACATTTATGTACTAGTATGGGCTTTATGTTGTTATGTGAAATCACATTGCATTGAGAGAAAAGTTTAAAGAAAGTCTGCATTGTTAAGAACCTTAAAAAAAAAAAAATCTCCTTTATGTTTGCAAAAATGATTCTTTCTGCAGACGTAGCATAGATGGTTCATTGTGCTGCCATGAGTCTTTTCAATGCCATATATATTTCGAAAACCTCCACTAATGAAGGAATAAAGTCTGCACCAAGTCTTAAAATAATCCTACCACGTCCATCCTCGACCGCACTCCACCCCGCTCCCTTCTCAAGTTTGTGTTGTCGCCGTGCACAGGTGCAGGAGTTCAACGGCCGGCACTACATCATGGAAAAGGCCATCACTGGAGACTATGCTCTGATCAAGGCATGGAAAGCGGACAGGGCAGGAAACATTGTTTTCAGGTAATTGATGAAATGGAATGCAAGAAAAGGAGTTCACACATCGTTAGCACAGACCTGTTGTATTATGGAAAAAGTCATTATCTTGTAAAGGGTTCAGCTTCTTCCAGCCTCACCGCATATTAGATTAGTCTTAATCACCTGGGTTGTGTTTTCAGTCAGGTGGCACTAAGCTGGTATCACGTCTTGAGAGTAAAACATTAGTTTTTGAAAAGTGGATGGATATTTTTTTTCACACTGAGATGATTTTAGTTAATATTCAATTAGCAAGAATCTTTGAGGACCATATGGAACACGTCTAATTGGTAGATTTCCAGCCTGCATCAGTTACATGATTTTCTTATTTATACGTATTTTGTTGTTAACATTGGCCTCCTATATCATGCAGGTAACAGACAGATTTCAGGACAGGGCTGGCATTATTGATAACTATTGTTAATTTTGACAACTTCAGTAATATACTATACATTGATGCTACACAAGATAGAAAATTCTACATGACAGATTACAATTATACTTGTTCATAAATATCCTCATCAGTTATAACACAACTTAAATTTAGCGTATTATTTATTGTTTTCTGAGGATGTTGACTTTTTTATTTGAAGTGTAGGCCTTCAGTTCTTTAGGCTGGGACCTCTAATTTAATAGAAAAAAGGTTTTTCGGCTCTGTTTGCACTTTTTAAAAAAATGTATTTTATTCTGAGGTGTTTGTTTTCTTTTATCTGAAATAAAGGCCTTAAATTTATTTGCCTGGGAGCACTTATATATATATGGTAAAAGAGCTGGCTGTGCACTGGGTTAAACATATCCTGCACTGAAAATTGACGATAAGTATTGTTGAAACCATGAAAATGTGGCCATAGAGGAAGGCATTAAGACACAAACTGGACTTTGGTTCGGACCTTTTACTTGGAGGAAATTTTAATAACTGGACCTCGGTGACTTTTAATTGAATACCCCTGGCACAGACCTTCCATCTAGCATGAGTAAGCTCATTTGCACCAAATTAGTGCATGTGAATAATCACAATTACTAGATGTAGTAAGTTCTTTCTCCACAAGAGGGCAGTGTCCTCCAGTAAGCTATGAGCTCATACTGCACATCATCGGTTTTAAAACCACTTGCCATCTCTGATTTTTGTTTGAGTATTTTCTTGCCTCATATTGACTTTAATAACACATCTGCCTTGTGTCTGTCAGGAAAACAGCCCGAAACTTCAACCAGCCCATGTGTAAAGCGGCCAAGACCACCATAGTTGAGGTGTGTATTTCCAATCACGTTTTTAATGCCTGCCTGCAACATGTATCGTTACACATTTCTGCCAGTAGAGTTACCATCTCAAACCTCTGCTACAGCTTTCCATTAATGGTCTTCATGCATTATGTAGATTTTCACTTTCTAGGAATTTTGCTTTTCCTGGCTCATAGCTAAACTACACTATCTTGGCAAAAACAAAGTGAATATTATGAAAATTGACTCTCAAACACAAAAACAAATGACTATGTGTAACACTTATTCATATATCTAGATATAAATATCCTAAATAAAAGCAGACTGGTGTTTTAGTCAAATATAATCACCTCCATCTACGTATAACCTGAGTAAAAATACTTTAATGATGCTTAACTTGTGAGCATGAAGCAAAATGGGTCAAAATTAGGTCAGAGATTGGAGTACCTTCTGCAGCTCGCAGGGCAGTAAAATATGTAAAACCCCTCCAAGGACATTATAGAGGCTATTCCATTTTTTTTTTAACACTCAAGGTCTGGAGTAGAAATCTGAGACGGGCCTCTCACAGGTGTAAGGCAAAGTGTTTTGTAGTTGCGACTTCGAAACAACACCTTGAACAAGGAGCAGTTTACATTCAAAGTGTGTCCAGCTGTGTCTGTGAAATAACTAGTTTCATTACATGTGTCCATGTACCTTTTTAGCATTTGACAATTCAGAGATGCGATCGCTCATCTCGTCCCTTGGTGTGTGTGTGTGTGTGTGTGTGTTTGTCTCCGTCTCTGCCCCTCCAACACGCAAACCGCTTCACACCTCCCATATAGAGCAGCAGGAAGAAAAACCGTGTGTGTGAAAACCACAACACGGGCACTTTCCGAAAATAAATCAACAGGAGAGGGTCTCTCATAAATCTAACTGAGTTCCACAAAGCACATTTTCAATTATTCTGTGGTTGCTGGACCTGAAATTTAGTCTCCTGTTGATTAGAAATGTCTGGGAACAAATGGGGAGAGTAAATTGTGTCACCGTGCAGCTGTTACGGTAGACGTCACGGTTGATTAAACACAAATTTTGGTTTATAATGCTGAGTAGAGCACATTAATAACTGTAAGAAGCTCTTAATTTCAACTGTTTAGTATAATACCTTATACGAGTGTGGCTGTGGTGACGACAATCATGCCAATAATGGCTATCAGTGACTTATGGAGGATCAGTGCTATGGTGTAGCAGAAGTTTGCCCAGTGTTCTTATACAGGTATAATGTGATTAGATGCTCTCTCAGCAGTGATGCCAGTAAGCAATGTGTCTGTGTGACATAGGCTAGGGGTGTAATGTAGATCATAGTGGCATGAATGAAAATAATAATACTTATAATGATGAAACAATGTGATTTAATATCAACCGCCTGCTTCAGTCTTTGTGCACTCGTCTACTCAAGGTGTTCTCGGTGAGAGGAAAGGATGAAACAATTCTTTCAAGGGATTTAGAGACCCAAGGGGATTTCAGACTGATGAATAGTAGTGGGGTTTTTTCTAAGTTCCAGGTGCATTTCTAAGATTGTTTTTGTGGCATTTCTACTTCCATACAGTGGCGAATGGCAGGAATGATAGGAAGGAAAACGAGAACGAATAAAACGACAAGTTAAAAGTAAGATTTAGATCCCATTATATCACAAGCTTCCAGAAAGTGGCCGACTTATAGCAGTCAAGAAGGGTCTGAGAAATGTTATGGACACAGACGTCGTCCTCTGCAAGTTTTCACAGAGTGAGAAATGCATCAACAGACTGACTTAATATGTAAAACAAGGACGTGCTGTATGTACTTTACTTTTTAATAGAGGGCTAGACAGACATTATACTTTACACTTTTTATTTGTTTGTCAGGGCGCTGCGCACAAAACCATTAATCTCGTAGAAAAAGAGATGCACTCTGCAGTCCTTGGGCACGTAGGCACAGTAGTAAATATTAAAGACAAATTTGTATCCAGGGTGCTAAATACAAATAAGGCCACCCCACAGCACACAGACAGCGTAAAACAGACAGTTACACATTCATTCCCTGTGCTGTTTCATCAGTGTATACACAATATTAAAAGTCAAGGTGATATAGGGATAAAGATGTCTGTTCTTATTGATGTGTATAGCCTGAAAAATGTTATTGTCAATCAGTTAACTTCAACCCAAAATGCCTGTTCCAACCTGACACAAATCATCTTATATTGGAAAAGGAAAGCTCTGTATCTGAACTTAATCTGCTTTAAATGTAATTTGACGTTCCCTTGCAGCAGTTTAAGCAGACAGTGTCATTCAGCTTGAAGGTTTTGCACTTAACTCCTATTTCATATTGTGCTACAACAACAAAACTTGTCATCCTTGTATCATCTAAATGCGTCTATCCAGTGGGGCATTCGTTGTAATTTGTGTTGCAGTTTGATGAATGATGCAAATGAAATTTTCAAATGTTAAACTGAAATTTAGTACATTTCTAAACTGTCTTCCTTACAGTCTCTGGCTAATTATTTCATTGTTTGTTGGAAGCATGACAGCAAAAATTGAAGTCACCCAGTATCAAAATCTCCTATTTAGCATAGACATATAACTGAAGATAAAATGCTTTTTCATTGGTGAAATGGGACTAGCAATTCATCAGGAGTGTACTGAGGTACTTGGGATCCCGTCGTAGCTCTATCATGGGGACTTGATTGTATCTGTCATTTTTTATGGGGCCTTTTTTATGACAGTGGAGGTAACATATGAACACTATCTATGTCAAGTTATTGGTGACTATAAAGCCCGTATTGTAATACCCATTAGGAACCTTTTACCTCTGATAGGGAAGCAATTACTGTCTCCATGAAAATACATTTATCTTTAAGATTCAGTGCATGCTCGGTCATAAATGTGGTGATTAGTCGTCAGTATTGACCCCGCCGTCTTGGTGCGCCGGCTATTCGTTTAACTTGCTGCTCAGTTTGGCAGCTCAGGCCAACGTGCGGCAAGCTCCCCGACGATCATGTTGCACATCTGCTGGACTAGATCTCCTCCCTGTAGTGTATATGCGGCCAGGAAGGTTCAAACTGCTCAGGGGCTAAGCAATTAATGATTATCAAAGGGCAAAAAATGTCAGGACATTGTGGCGGGAGCCAGACAGGACCTGGGGAACATGGGTGGAAAAATAATTTCCCTGAGTTCTGTCAGGCACCTCACAGCTTCAAAAGGGCAGTCATTTAAAATGCAGTTGTAACTGCGTTCAAACAACCAGGCTGATTTATTAGATTGATTAGTTTCAAATCAATTCTGGAAAATGGTTGATCGGCTGCGAAATTCAGTCAGTCAAGAAAAAAACTCCAGCATGTATGATTCTAGTCTAGTTTTTATTAGCTAATACAATATCATACCAGTGAGTATTATAAATCATTGTGAGTTTCCTCTTCACACGTCACGGCAAAAGCAGGTGCCCATTAACCTCTTGAATAAAGTTTTGTGTCGCAGACCCACTCCTCTGTAATGGACATTTGAATTACCCGTGCTTGAACTATTAACTGAGCCAACAGCTTTTATATCAGTTGAATAAATGCATCATAACGTTATAGCCTTCTTTAAAAGGCACATTCATTTTGAATATTTACATACTCCGTATGCCCTTTCACTGCCTGCCATCAAAGTATCCACTTTATTTGAATTCCAAGAGTCACTTAAGGCTCAGTAAATGTGTGTCTGTGTGATACATGAAACCCCTGAAGGGCTACCAGACATGAAGATGTGTAACCTGGTGACTCCTCTTCTGTAAGACATCAATACCAACACTGGGAAGCAAATTCAAATGATCTCTCGCTATCCAATTGTCGCCAGCATGACCCTTTCAAAGACGAGACTCCACGTTTACTATGTTCAAGATAAATTAATTAGCATTTTGTTGTATTCTGTTGTTATGCTAAGTCCCTCTGCTGCATGTACAGGATACATTTCGATGATGGCCAACGTTAGCGCGTCATTCCGTCGCGGGCAAACGTCGTCCACATTTTGATACGTGCATCTGCTTTAATTCTGACTGAGTTTAAACTCCAAGAGATTGGAGGGGTGTCGGAACACGAGATAACACAAAAGCAAATTACACAAAAGAAAATTACCAGATCATCACCAGCTCCTGCCATGGTTGCTAGGCAACCAAACCCTGCTATTCAATTTTTCAATGTTCCACAGTATCCAGCTGGTCCAGTTATTCCCTTATCGCAGGTACAATGAAAGGCCCCAGTGCATTGTGGGTTACAATGCACCAGAGACCGAATCAAAGCGGTGGTTTTTTTTTTTACTGTTGTTTGACTATCAGTGACAGTAAACGAGTCAACTGTATTCTAGTAGCAATGCAATGTACTCGTGTGGGTGATGGTGTGCGCGCACAGCCAACCGGTCATGCATGAATTGAATGAATGTATTTTTAAGTGTGTTTTGTTCTTCTAGCCTGGAAAGAGGTCTAATTGGATATAAATGACCTCCATCCTCGGGGGTTTTAAGCATCAGCCTCCCACTGTACATTTGTGTTAGAGCAAAAATAGCAGTTGTTTCTCAGGGCTTAAACAGGATATGGTTTTTGTGCCTTGGGCTCGATTACTGTTGCAACAAAAAGACCTACAAATTCGCAAAATAAATAGATAATAGCAGCATCTCTGTTTCACTTGTAACTTGTGAACTGTAGCTCGTGTTTAAGTGTCTTGACTCCAGCGTTTGTCCTTGGAATGATAAGTGTTGATCTTAAACCACTGCTATAGTCTTTTTTTGTGGTCCCAACAGCCTTGTGCCTTGTTGTCTCGATGCTGGAATTTCAATTAGTTATTACAGCCAACAATTTCTGTGCTATTTTTCCATTACTGACTATGCCTTGTTCAGTTTTCTAGTCTTGTTCTTGACTCATCGCCCTGCCTAACTCCACGACTGAAGCAATTGCTGGCAATTAATTATAAAACCACTTACACACCCCACTATTTCCTGCTGAAAAAGGTTTGCTTTGTGTGCATTAGATATGCAATGTATTCT